TTCCCATGCCTGATAATTGTCTTGTTTGCATAGTGGTTGTATGGGTAAATACTTTTGGGTAATGATGTGAAACCTCTTTGATTTCTATGTATTCTCCCCTCTATCATCTCTTTAGATCTTTCTATATGTTTTTATTTCTTTTCTTTTTGATTACTCTAAAGATTACTATTGATTGGTCTTAAAGCAATGACAAATATCTTGCACCTTTATGACAATACACTTGATTATATATTTGAGAACTTCCTTCTTTTGTTTTTCTTATTTTGTATCTACCCTCTCTGTATAAACATTTCTTTTGTGAGTAAACTTTTCTAAGATGGTCTATAGATATAATATTGGTATGAATAACCAATTAGTAGTTATCATTGAAGAACCTATTGATTTTGAAGAAATGATGACTCAAGGCTTTGATCTTCAAAGTGTTATCTCCCTTAATGGTTTGGATGGTTCCTTTGATATGCTCTATGGTCCTACCTACCCTATTTTGGTAAAATAATTATTGGTTAATGCTTCTGTCTAAGAACTAAATCTAGAGTATGTCATTCTTTCTGTTGTATTTGGTGTTCCTATCACCATCACCCCTGCCTCAATTGCTAACGCAATAAATTGTAAGGATGAAAGTGTTGTTCTATATATGCTTTTTTAGGAGTCTTCTTTTCCTTTTCATCTTATATTTGATGATCTATACGACCTGTCTAAAGTATCTAATCTTAACTCTAAGGAATTAGCCTGGTATCAAATTTTGATCTTAAACTTCCTGCCAAAGAACAAGAATCTGGATTCTTTAGATATTGATGAAAAAACTTTTCTGCTTCTCTCAACTCAGATTATAAGATCAACCCTCCCTAAGTTATGTTTGATTATATGAATATAACTCTCATATCCTTTCACGATGGAAAATCATGTTTCATTCCTTATGGAAGGGTTCTTTCAAAACTCTTTATTCAAAAAAGAGTAGAGAAAACTATGTTTGAAGTTGCTTCACAAATCTGGGGTGATAGGTTAAAGATACCAGAAGCTATGAAAGCCATTGACCCTTTTAAGGTTAAGGCGGCCTCTCTAGATGGAGCTTCTTCTTATTTTGTTTAGTTTATTTTTATTTTTTTGTGTTGTGATCTCATCCTTCTTTCAATGAATATTTTTTTATTTTCTCTGCTTATTATTTGTGTTCTTCTTCTAACTTTTATTTTCAGTGTTTTTGTTACTCTAGTTTGTCTTACTGATTGATTGATAAGTATTACCGCAATTTTAATGGATATTAAGGGAAATTTAAGGCTATCATGGTAACGAAATTGATATTTTGTTTATTCATTAAGAAGAAAGTACATGATCTGGACCTAAAGGCTATTACATTTGTTATTCTTCTAAGTCAGTTGAATATCTTAGATTTGATCACCTGTTCTTTCTTATAAACCTTTTAGTCCTTATCCCACTACTTTTTCTTGAGATTCTTCAGATCTACTTCTGAGGTCTTGCCCTCTTCAGAGACTCCTGCAGATGTGCCCTCATCCTTGGCAGCTGTGGATCTCTGAGCCCTTGCTAGTACCTCAGATTTTTGTTTTTTCCCTAGCTTATTTCTTCATCGGGCTGCGTATCTCCTTTGCAAAATCTCTCTTATTATCCTTGAATTGTTTTTCTTTGAACATGTTTTTGCTTAAAAATTAATCTCTTTAAGAGGAATGTTATCTAGTTGAGAGTACACATCTGCTTTTATAGAGAAGTTTTTTTTCTATACTCATTTCAATCTTCAAAACCACGTTCTTTTGAGTCTTGTTTTTTCTAGAATCCTATTCCTCGAAGACCATGCAATCAGAATCTAACTTTGACTATCTTGAAAATTGTGGTACAAATTCCTATTTATCACCAGTTCTTCTATTCTCAATATCTTTTCTCTCTTTTTCTACTATCCTGCTTTAATTATATTTTTGTTGATGACAAAAGGGGAGAAAATCATGGGAGTATTTAAAGACGATAAAAGTAATTTGAATGATTTTATTTATTTGAACCCATATTATTACTTTTGGTTTATTTGAATATTATTTTTCTATCATATCAAGATAAGTTTAATTAACTAGGATATGACTTAGGGGGAGCTTACAAAACTCAACCTTTAAACTATTAGACATTAGGGGAGTTTACAAAACTCCGACTCTGATGTTGTCAAGTTAATTAAACTTACCAACCATTGTTCTTAAATATCTTTATTTGTCATCATAAAAAAGGGAGAGATTATTGGAACAAAATTATTCATATCCCTTAGGTTTTGATGATAACAAAGTACTTAAAGAACAATTTGGTATACTAACATATGTTCAAGTGTGCAGGATCATAAGCTTAAAATTCAACTCAAAATTGGCCCTGATGAAAGCATATGTAGAGAAGCTAAAAGACTCAGACTCTGATGACTCTGAACTTGGTATATCAGCTTCAGAAGGATCAAAATCTTATCAAGGTATCTTTACTTCTGGTGTCATCTCAAACTCTAAAGACCTTAGCTAAATGCAAGAAAGTTGAGCAATCTATTATAGTATCAAAGTCTATCGATCATATTATAAGCCATCCAACATTTATTTCACCACACGTGTAAGTGAGTATAACACACATATATATATATATATATATATATATATATATATATATATATATATATATATATATATATATATATATATATATATATATATATATATATATATATATATATATATATATATATATATATATATATATATATATATATATATATATATATATATATATATTGAAAATCTTGGTATTCGGCCTTGCGAGCGACTAATCCAAGAGACTCGCAGAGCCCCAGTTTAAAACCAGAGCAAAGCTCCGTATGGACTGACCCACACAAAACTTGATTGCACATAATAAGACTCGAACCTGAGATCTTGAGAGGAGCACTCTCAAGATCAAGACCCCACCATTAAACCAATCCTTAAGGGTTTAAAAGATTTATATTAGTGATACCTCTTTTCTTACAAAAGATATTTAGAGATGAGTTAAATTAAATTGTAATTCTAATAGTTTATGAGTGACTCTTTATTTCTTGATGTCATAGTTGTTTGTTGTTTTTGTGATGTTTTCTTCTTCAGTTTTTAGTTGAATTGTTTTATTTGTAGGGTCAATTTAATACCAATTTATATATATATATATATATATATATATATATATATATATATATATATATATATATATATATATATATATATATATATATATATATATATATATATATATATATATATGTGTGTGTGTGTGTGTGTGAGAGATATATTTGAATTTCAAAAGTAGCCATGAATAAATTAATAAAGTTACTTCAAATAGTATTCTTTAATTTTGTTTTAGTTTAACATTTTCAATTAATTTCGTACAATTTATTTTAGGAAGTGTATCTGAAATAAGATTAGAAAAGAAGTTGATGAATTGAATCTATTAAATTAAAGTAACTAAAGGATAAGGTTTGAAATAACTTTATTAAGTTAAATTTGGAATATAAGTAAATATATATATATATATATATATATATATATATATATATATATATATATATATATATATATATATATATATATATATATATATATATATATATATATATATATATATATATATATATATATATATATATATATATATATATATATATCTATATATATATATATATATATATATATATATATATATATATATATATATATATATATATATAACACTTTATTTGTATTTAATTTTATCTTTTTTTTTTCAATCATTTTATCTTTTTAAAATTATTTTTTTTTCTATTTTATTCTCATTTTTATGAAAAAAATGCATCTCGAGATAATCAAACTGTGACTAATAATATTTACACTTTAAAAGACAAAGTTAATTAATATTAAACTTTTAAAATAAAATAAGATGAACATTCTGGTACCCTCACATTTAGTTAGGTACCATTACTCTTATCTAATAAAAAAATCACATTATATTATTTTATATATATATATTTTATTTAAAATTAATTAATTCTTTTATTCAATTTTTATTAAATATACTGATATCCAATTACTTAACATAATAACTAAGAACTTGCATCAAATTAAATATTAATAGGATAAGCAAGATAAATATATAATTATTTAAATTCATATTAACTTCATCTTAGAGTGTTTTTAATGAGAGCAATTAAATTGAATGAACTAAGTTATTTTACGTGGGTGTAAATTGACATGAAAGATTTAAACAATCTAAAATTGAATTAAGAAGTTTTTACTTAAATGGTAATTGTTTATAATAAATTCAAACTTGATATTAAATGGTTAATAAAAATATATTATTTATGTTAAATAATTAATAAAAATCTATTATTTATGTTAAATAATAAGTTAGAATACGTTGTTTATATAGAACACGTAAATTAATTTTAAAGCATCTCATATGTTATGTCAACTCTACTATAATACAAATTCTTTATTAATAACGTAAACTATATAAAATTTTAGTTTAAGAATGCGTATTTTTACCCCTTATATTAATTATTTAAAACGAAGGTAGCAATTATATATATTCGCGAAAACATAAATAATTTTGAGAATCGAATTTATGATATACCTTGAAAAGTTCTCTGCAGGAACTGTATGCGCTGGCATTTGAATTTAATAACAATTGTATTAATTTTCTCTTGTGTTACACTAAGATTTGGTAAAGATATAAAAATAAATATTAAATAAAAATGAGAAATGTTCATTTGTGGAGCACGCGCTTTCCTATATTATGTTGTTTTTGAATTCTACTACCTCGTTTGTTTGTTTGTTTGGTGTAATAAGAACTTAGTTTTCAGATCAACTTTCTTTTTGTTTAGTTGACATTGTTTCCACAGTTTTTCTTTTTCTTTTTCGATACTTTTCAGAACCGATTCATCTCTTGTCTAGTTTGTGTTTTTTAAGAAAAAACAATTCATAATCTCTGTCGGTGTTTTTCCTCTGAGTTAGCATCTGTACGCAACAATAATGAGAGAATGGAAATTCACATGCTTCAAGGATCTTAGGAGTGTTTTGTGGCTTGTGTTGTTTTGTGTTTTGTTACAGAGTTTTGGTTTGTGCTGTTCTTTGAATGATGAAGGTAAGGGTTTTTATTGTTTGTGGTGTTTTGTGTTGTGGGTGGAAACAAAGGTGAGAGAAAGTTGAGTTTTTTTGTTTGTTTGCAGGTAAAGCTCTTTTGAAGTTCAAGCAAGGGATTGTTAGTGATCCTTTTGGTGCTTTGTCAAATTGGGTTGATGATGGAGTTTGGGTTGACCCTTGTAATTGGTTTGGAGTTGAGTGTTCTGATGGAAGAGTGGTGGTATTGTAAGTGTTGATCTTTTGATTTGTTTCTTTTGAGAATTGAAATTTGTGATTTATTATAAGTGCATGTTTGGATTTGGTTATAATCCGTTTAATTTATGGGTATGATCCGTTCAATTTAGGGGTAGAAACACTTAAATGATAAGCACTTATGATATAAGTGCTTAATTCATTTGTTTATCCAAACAAGGTTTGGATTGTTTCCCGCACGCTCTAGTTCACGCTTTAGATGTCTGGTTTTCGTTAGCAGTTGATACTTGATACTATCATTATAAATTTTGAACATCATTCTTATGTTAAATCAAATTACAAGTTAAATTGTTGTCTTGATCGTAACTGTAGTATGTTGCATGTTTTTTATTGTTACTTAATTATAAACTAGTGCTGGAGTGTTTAATTATGAGAACATTTTTTGTTGCTTAGGAATTTGAAAGACCTTTGCCTTGAAGGAAAACTTGCAAATGAGCTCGAGAGCCTTTTTCATATAAAGTCCATGTAAGTAATTGCTTGTTACCGAGCTTCTCTGTTTATTGTGGCGACTGAGGAATTTTAATTTCCATATATGTTCATTTGTCTGATAACATTGTGATGAATCTGTTGTGCAGAGTTTTGCGGAATAATTCTTTTCAAGGAATCATTCCCGAAGGAATTGTACGCTTGAAGGAATTGGAGGTTTTGGATTTGGGCTACAACAACTTCAGTGGACCTCTAATGAAAGACATTGGGATTAATATCTCACTAACAATCCTGTAAGATAATACTCTGAAGATTTCAATTTTAAACTTGTTTTTTGCTACTAAGACGCTGACGCTGAGTACGTAGATCAATTTTCTTCTTTGAATTTCTTTTAACGATTCAACTTTTTTATTGCAGTTTGCTGGACAACAATGATCTTCTTTGTGGTTTGTCGCATGAAATTAATGAATTGGCGATGATTTCTGAGTCTCAAATAGATGAAAATCAGTTAATTGATGCAGGGAAATCGCCAGGTTGTACAGGAAGATCGATCAAATGGTATGTCACTAAGCATTTTAAATGTGTCATTGCGTTTTTTTTTACCATAATCTAAACTCTTATGTCATTCTTTTTTTAAGGCGTAATCGCAAAAGTGAAAAAAGTCTTCGGAAGCTACTGCAATCCAGTACTCGTGATGATCGTCATAATCGTGCAGCTATTGTTCCAGATAGTCCTTCTCCATCTCCCTCACCTTCACCTTCCCCTTCTCCTTCTCCTTCCCCGTCTACCTCAACAACACCACCGAAAGTAAAAAAACCATCTTCCCCTAATCGAAATGTTTCCGCATCTCCTTCTGTCCTGCCCGCACCACAATCCAAAAGCACCTCATCGAAGAAAGAGCACGCTCCTATTGTGGTTGGAATTGTGGGTGGTTTTGCATTTATTATCGTTTCTGTCATTGTCGTATATCTATGGAAAACCAACAAGGTGGCGACCGTTAAACCATGGGCTACTGGATTAAGTGGACAGCTTCAGAAGGCATTTGTGACAGGTAAATCTAAGAATTTATCCTTCTAAATATAAGATTCCTGCCTTAGCACATGCTTAACAAAGTTTTACGTTTTTAGGTGTGCCGAAGCTAAAGAGATCAGAGCTTGAAGCAGCGTGTGAAGATTTTAGTAACGTGATCGGTACTTCACCCGTTGGAAGCATTTACACAGTGTACAAAGGGACTCTATCTAGCGGTGTCGAAATAGCCGTGGCTTCTGTTACAGTGACATCATTGAAAGATTGGTCAAAGACTTCTGAAGTCCAGTTTCGTAAAAAGGTAAATTATCACAAAAAACTAACCACATAATATTTTGTAGATTTTCAATTATTTGGTATTAACATTTTAAGCAATTACAAATGCAGATAGATACATTATCAAAGATGAACCACAAGAATTTCGTAAATCTTCTTGGATTTTGCGAAGAAGACGAGCCTTTCACCAGAATGGTGGTTTTTGAATACGCCCCAAATGGAACACTCTTCGAGCATTTGCACAGTGAGTGAATAGTTTCTTCTATGCACTTTTTTCTTATCCTTTTCGTGTTTAAGTATGAAACTCGCTGATATTTTGATCTCGTTGAAAATTCAGTAAAAGAAGCCGAGCATTTGGACTGGGGAACAAGACTTAGAGTTGCAATCGGCACAGCATACTGCCTGCAACATATGCACCAGTTAAACCCTCCTCTTGCACATAGCAACCTAAACACTTCATCTGTTCAACTCACTGACGACTACGCTGCCAAAATCTCTGACCTAAGTTTCTTGAAAGAAATAGCTTCACCCGATATAAAATCTTCTGCCAAGAAGCGCACAGACGCGACATTAGCAAGTAACATTTACAGCTTCGGTATCATGCTACTCGAAACTGTAACGGGCCGTCTTCCTTATTCCAACGATCAAGACAGTTCACTTGAAAACTGGGCTTCACAGTACTTACAAGAGAACCAGTCTCTCAAAGAAATAGTAGATCCAACACTAGTATCCTTCCAAGAAGAACAATTAGTACAAATCGGCGCATTGATTAAGTCCTGCGTCAATGCTGATCAAGAGAAAAGACCAACAATAAAACAGGTTTGCGAGAGATTAAAAGAGATAACGAAAATAAGTCCCGAAGTAGCTGTTCCAAAACTTTCACCACTTTGGTGGGCAGAACTCGAGATTGCTTCTTTCGACGCAAGCTGAAATCACGAAAAGAGATTGTAAGTATGGAGTTTGTATCATTCTCGTCCTTTTTTCGTCGCGCTAAAAAGGTACTCACCTGTAATCTGATACCTCTTGTATCTATTGTAGGGGAGTAATAAATCACATTGTACATAAGGGAGATTAAAAAGAACCATTTTTTTGTGTGCTTTGTTTGGTTATGGTTTTATGGAATTGCACCAGCAAAAGGGTGCTATATATTAGTTAATTTCATTTGTTAAGTAAGTTATTTTGTTGGTTAAACATATTTTTGATTATATTTGTTACTATAATAATAATACTTTCACTTATTTTGATTGTTATCGGGTTGAATCGAATTGCCTCTAGAGTTAATTCTAATCCGAAGTTCAATGTGAATGTGAGACTCTTTAACACATCGTAGTCGGGCTTATGTGTCAGATGTGATGAGTTTGCATGACAGAGTCAGAGTCTTACGGGCGATCTTTGTTAATTTATACAAGTATAATGAAAAATAAACAATTCTATAATGGACGGCAGGAAATTTGGAAATTTGTATGACAGAAGCATTGTGGAAGATTGTGGTTTTGTCCATAACATGATGGAGAGGCTCATTTATTTATTTGATTGCTATGATGGAGGCTCTTTGTAATATTCGCCAGTTGCTATTGAAGATGACATGCTTGATCCAACATGTTGTATGTAGAAAAGAAAAACCAACCACCTTAAGGAAGACTAGGTCAAAATGTTTGGTGTATTCCAGGGTTTTTTTTATAAAAGTAATTATGAGTTGTCAATACAGTTGTGCTAGGTGTGCTATGTGGACATCATTATTATATCAAAATTTTACACCGTATGCATTATTCATTAATAAATTATTTTTATGAATAGTGATGAACAGTATCAAGTGAACAGTATATATTTTTTACGAAATAAAAGTTTAATAATATTAAATAAATTTACTAGTTCTTTTTAATTTTAATTTTAATTTTAAAAATCAGTATTCTCTACTCGCAATTTGTTCTTTTCAATTAGTCTTTCTACTTAAGTTTTTGTCAATCAAGTAATAATCATGTAGTGTTGTCAACTAAAATACTGAAAGATACACGATGTAATACAGGTAAACCGTATATTTTATCTCTCACCTCAAATATTGTAGAAAACATATTTCAATATATTTTAAAGTTCTAAGTTATAATGTTAGGATTAATTTGTTTAAAAAAGATTAATTTAAATATAATAGATTTATTTAATGAATTTTACACTAATAAAATAAAATAATTATAAGTGTTAATATTTACAATATAGTAAATAGATATCAATTATTCCAAGTAAGTTGATTAAATTGTTTTGTTGGTAAATTTTTTGGTAACAGATATGTGAGCTGATGCTTAGATGGTATATAGGCCATAGTTATCAACTCACCATTCAAACTTTTTTTTTTATAAAATGTAAGTCAATTTTAATTTTAACGTGTTATGTCATGTCATGATAAACATGATTATGTAATATTGATAATTAATTTATTGTCACGAAACAATTTCATAGAACCTTTACACTATATCTCCAAATTTTCTAATACTTGTTTTATCTTTAATAGTTCACAAGTTTCTAGTGTCATAGTCTTGAATTCTGCTTCATTCCTTGCTTTTGAACAACTGCACTTTGTTTTTCAATCCTTCATGTAATAAGGTTTTCACACAAGAAAGTACAAAAGATTAAAGTTAATCTTTTATCAATCACAGAATCTACGTTTTCACACAAGAAAGTACAAAAGATTAAAGTTAATCTTTTATCAATCACAAAATCTACATATTCAACATTAGTGTAAGTCACCACAGTTAGACTTCCACCTTTTTTAAATTAGAGTCATCTCTCCTAAGTGATTTTAAGATGTTGCATAACACAATCTACAACCTGCAAATGTCTCGTTCTAGAATCATGCATGAATTAGTTCATCCACTGATTGTATGTGTCAAATCCAACCTAGTTTGTATCAAGTAAATCAACCTTTTCACTAACCTCTAATAATGACTCTCGTCAATTTTAAGACTTTCCTTCTTATAACTCATCTTATGATTTTGTTAAATGGAAACACTTGGAGGCTTGCATTCAAGTTTTTCTATTTTCTGCAAAAATTCAAGCACATATTTTTTCTAAGAGATAAAAATTACTTTATTTGAATGGGTTGCTTCAATTCTCAAGAAGTGCTTGAAATTCTTAAGGTCCTTCATCTCAACCTCTGCTTATAATTTCTTTTTGAGTAGTTTATCTCAATTAAATAATCTCTTGTAACAATAGACAAGAAGTACAATTTGTTTTCCTCCTTATGTATGTTTAACAAACAAAGTGTGATCACTTTGGTTTTTCTTATAGCTCAAATACAACATTGTCTTTGTGAATATTTCAAACCATGCCCAAGGAAACTACTTTAGTCCATATAAAACCTTCTTCAATCGAAGTGTCTTGTTGACTACACCCGTAGGACTAAATCGTGTGGAATCTCCATATATTCTCCCTCTCTAAGTTTCCATGCAAGAATGCATTTTTAACATCAAATTATTATAATTTTCATCGAGAATAAGCAACACTAGATAATAAGATTATAATAATATTGATTTATACATGGAGAGACAAAATATTTTACTTTTCTCTCAAAATAATGGATAAATCATTAATATCACAAGTATAAAAAATCTAAGAATTACCAATAAGAGAATCATTTTCAATCTTTACCTTTGGCTTAGGGGATTGAGGTTATTTCTAGAGCAAAAAGGCAATGAGCCGAAGGAAACAACTTCAATCCTCTGATTCATACAAAATAGAGATGAATCGAAATAGGACTAGGAATAGATTCGGGACGATACTTAAAAATATGTTTACTCACAATAGGCAACAACTCAAGTTTAGAAGCTGACTTAGGACTATGAAAAGATTTACTCAAAATAGGAACTATGACATGTCTTATATGTAAGTTATGACTAGGGATGACGATAACATTTGTACCTTCTTATGTTAGGAGGATAACCATAAAGACACCTCTAAGTGTACGATAATTTAACTTAGTTTCTTGTTGCTTATAGAGATGGACACAAGCTATACACTCAAATACTCGAGATTCAATACCTTGCAACAGAGAAGAAAAAAGTGAGATCATAAACTAAACATGATTAACATTACTTATAATACGATTTGTCGCACGATTAATTAGATAAGCGTGACCAAACTTCTTCATCCCAATATAATTTTGGGCAAACATTTGAAAGAAGAGAGCTCAAGTAAATGATGATTTTTCATTTCTGCGACATCATTTCGTTGTGGGGTGTTGACACATGTGAATTTATGGATAATGCCTCGTTTACTAGTAAAGTTGGAAAATTATAATTGACATCCATTGCCAAAATGTATTAATTTAATATCATTTCTAAATTGTGTTTGCACAATATTGTAAAATTGAATACACAATTGTGGTACTTCTAGTTCATTATTCATAAAAAAATTCAAAGTTACTCGAGAACGAACATCAATAAAGAAAACAAACCATCTTGCACTAATGTTAGAAATAGAAGCTGATCCCCAAACATCAAAATGAATATGATCTAATGGTTTAACAATTTTAGTAAGACTCAAAGAAAAAGTAGTTCGATTAAGTTTAGAAAATTAAACAATTTCACACTCAAAAGACTGAATAAATTATTTTGAAAATAGAGATGGAAACATAAACTTCATTAATGAAAAAACGAGGATGACCAAGACGTTTGTGTCAAAGCCATATTTGGGAGGCATAAAAGACTTTGACTGAGATTGAAGTACAAAAGAAAACACATTCTAATCAGTTCGTGCACTATAGAGATAGTATAGTCCTCCATGTTAGTTAGCAACTTCAACCGTCTTTCTCGTTGTAAGATCCTGAAAAGTACAATGAAAATAAAAAGAAGAAGATATAACTCCATAATCCTGTAAGCTTACAGATAGAGATAAGATTGTTCGGAAGACCATGAACATGAAATACATCTTTTAGTTTAAAAGATCGAAGATCAATGTATCCACAACCATAAGCTCGAATATAAGAACCATCTACAACAATAATATACATAATTATAGAAGGAGAAATATTCTTAAAAATATATTAAGAGTCAAATGTCACGTAATGAGTGACATCAAAATCAAAGGCCAGTGATGAATGGCATTAGAATCAAAAGATCTAATCACTTTTAAAATCAATATCGTGAGCTTTAAAGGTAGAAATCACAATAGATCTAGCGATATTGATTGATATTGAAAAGCGTTTTCTCAAGAAAAAAGGAAAAAAAATAGCAAAAAGTACCCACCAGTTAAGTTCCAATTTTTAATGGAGAAATATAAAACAATATCGATGGGTGAATAATGTTGTCGTGATGAACAATACTTTTAGAATGAACGGTGTGCATATTATCTTCGTGATGAACAATACCTTTTGAATACACATTGTGCGCGTGAGGAATAATACTCTTTTAAAATGAACCACACTGAAGCACCACAATATCTTCATCTCACAACTAATATACTTTAAATGGTAACTAATATACTTTAAATGGTATCTCACACCTTGCGTCGTATCTGCTGACGATGATTCTAACTGTCGTTCTATATAAGGGTGTCCCTTCATCAATCTAGTGTACGATTCATTCACTAATTGTTCCATCTCTTTTATTGGCTAAATTCAGCGTTGGAGTGTAAACATTACATGTACCTTCTCTTTGTTCATAGGAGAAACTTACCACCACACTAGTATACCTTTTATAAGTGCTCAACCTCCACTTTTTTAAGCAATGTGAAACTTTCAACTCACACTTGTATCTCAACAATCTTTTTCTCAAGTGTGAGTCAATTCACTATGTTATCCCTTAAGTGGAAGCTCTTTTATCCACGTATACTTGTATTGTTGTTGACATCCTTACCATGTCACAAGCACTTCAGCATGACACGCCACATGACCATCAACATGTGCTCGACCTGATACCACTGATGGGTCACGAAAAAGA